TAACAGTATGAATCTTGCAAGTGTTTTCTTTTGTCAGGAAAATCTGTTCTTTTTGGGGGGGAGGAGGCAATATTAGGGCTTCAACTCAGGGCCTGCAGCTTCTCACTTTTATGCTCAGAGCTGGTGCTCATCCACTTGACTCGTGCCTCCAGGGTAGCATTTTGTTGGTTAGTTAGAGATAGAATCTCATGGACTTTTAGGCCCAGGCTGGCTGTGAACCAAAATCCAAGTCTCAGCCTCCTGAGGATTACAGGCAGGTGCCACCAGGGTCTAGCGTACAATAATGTTTGTTTGTTTGCCTATTTATTTGTATGAATCACAAGTCATTTATTTCTGGTTACATCTTCAGATTGGCCTCTTGCTTTTGCTGCTGTGAAGAAAGCCACTGGGAACATTTTTGTGGGGGTTCGTGCTTATCAAAGCCTGGGGTCTGCCTGGCTATTTGGCATCCTGACTGACCATGATTTTCTGCCTTCTGTCTGAGATTATTTCCTCCAGATCTTTAATATTTCTTAAACCCTAAAATTGCTTTAAAAAATCAACTAGGAAATCTAGTGCCTCCAGTGTTAAGACTAGTTTTATGGAATAGACCTTTAATATTCTATATTAGTATGTTTTTTCACAGGTAATTTTTTTTCTTTTGCCAGTCCTGGGGCTTGAACTCAGGGCCTGGGCACTGACCCTGAGCTTCTTTTGCTCAAGGCTAGCACTCTACCACTCAAATCACAGTGCCACTTCTGGCTTTTTCTGTGTACTGAGGAAGGAATCGAACCCAGGGCTTTATGCATGCTAGGCAAGCACTCTACCACTAGGCCCTATTCCCAGCCCCACATGCAATTGTAAAATGACTAGGCGAAGTAAGTTTCTCACACTCATTTTATAGATGAGGAAACTGAGGCTCAGTGAGGAAGAGTCATTTGCTCAGAGTTATGCTGTCCATAAAGATCAGAGATGGGATTTGAACTCAGGTCTACCTAACTCTAGAGTTACTTTTTACTTGATGGTGCTGGGCCTTGTGCTTGCCAGGCAAGTGCTCCACCACAAAGCTTCTCTCCTAGCTCCTAGAGCTGCTGAATGCTTGAATCCTCCTCCCCTAGACAGCTTCTGTTTTCAGCAGTGAATTTGGATTCTAAAGTAGTTTTAGAGAGGCTAACACAATGGTATGCTGGCTAAATAGTTCTCTAGAAAACAATACATTTGTAGAGTTGACAATTGCTGCGGTGTCAATATTGCCACCAGAGCTCATTTCTAGCAATGTCTGTGGCCTCACAGTATACCTACAAAATTCCCAGATGTTCAACCATCAATGCAAGTCAGTACCACTTGTTCCTTCATATCCCAGGGCCGAAGTGGTAGGTGACTTGGGTATGCTGCACTTATATTCTGCGCTCTGATTGGTCAGCTCAATACACATCACATTCCCTCTTTCTACAGGCAACTAATATACATAGATGGATGAAGTCCTTCTGAAGATCAGCTCTCTATGGAATCTTTAGATGAACTTTAGAAGCACTCAATGTTCTGTTACTTTAGAAAAGACTCTCTCTTCTCCCGCATGGCTTTCAGTATGTGTGAACAAGTCTGAGAGTCCAGTCTTTCCTTGAGCGTAGAAATTAAGATCAAAAAGATGGACTAGTGATTAATTGTTAGTATGTGGTCAAAGATAAAAAGTTAATTCCCAGGCCTGTGCATGTAGATTACAGTCCCCTGGCAACATCCAATTAGAGCTAGCTCCAGCATGGATTTAATTGATGAGGGAAATAGGTAAGAGGGGGACTTTTCAGGACCAACTCGAGGATTTCAGCACTACTCGGGGAGGAGGGGGGAAAACCTCTTAAGAAAATGCAAATGCCTTCACAGTAGCAAAGGAGACAATTTCCATTTCCAGCAAGGGGTGTATGGAAACCAACGAAGTGATCATCTTCTTCCCAAGCTATGACCTGCGGCATGCTATGTCTGGGCATGCCCAGACACGCTGGCTGTGTGTGATGTGTGATGTTTGGGTCACTGCAAAAAGCTACTTGTGGCTGTGTGTGTGTGTGTGTGTGTGTGTGTGTGTGTGTGTGTGTATTCCAGTTCTAGTGCTTGAATTCAGGGAGGGCCTGGGTGCTGTCTCTGAGCTTTGTGCTCAAGGCTAGCACTCCACCATGGTTCCACATTCAGTTTGTAGGTGGTTTGTTGGAGATAAGAGTCTCATGGACTCACAGACTTTCCTGCCCAGGCTGGCTTCAAAGTGCACATCCTCAGATCTCAGCCTCCTGAGTAGCTAAGATTACAGGCAGGACCACCAGTGCCAGGATTGTTTCCCACCTGCCTTCCAGGGGTGGGCTGTGTGATCTTTCCATGTGAACATGATCCTATCATTTCTACTGTAGAGGGATAGATGGTACATGTATAAATTTTGCAGATTTTAACAATGTTTAACAATCAGAGGTAATAAGTTTGTGCCACTTTACCCTTCTGGCCTGAATCTCAATCCATGTTTAAAAAAACCAACAAAAACAGGAGGAGCAAAAAAAAATACCTTAAAAAGCCTTTCTGGTCCCACCTAGGGAGCTGCATCCTCCCATAAACACTCTGCAGTGTGTCTGGGTGTTCTCTAGCGTGTCCAGGAATGACTACAAATCTGCTTCTCATCATGTGAAAGGTGTGGCTCATTAGCACTTGCTCTCAAAAAGCCTCCGGGGCCTGGTGACACTGCTGGTCTGGCCTGAGAGGGGAGGAAGGCGGGAGAAACATGGAGACCCCAACTCTCAGCCTCCCCAAGCCGCATAAAACGCGCTTCCTCTTTGCCATCCGCTTGAGTGCTTGGCGGTGGAGCTGTCGCCTTGCCTTGTGTCATGAAGAACAGACACTTCTTCCCCTTCTCTTCGCTAAGACGCTCCGTGTCCTATTTCATGGGTCATCGCCATGGAAAAGTGCAGCTCTGTCATTGACTTTATTGCCTTCACGCTGTTCCTGAGTTCCTCATCCGTGCAGAGCCCCCTTCCCAGGGAACAAATCCTTCCTTTCCCCCAAACCAATACATTGTCCTGAGGGACAAAGGAGAGGTTATGGGGGCGGTGCTTCGGCACCGGGAACGCTCAAAGTGGGCTTGTTTGCTTGAAGAACGCGTAGTCCAGTTGAAGAGACGTGTAATCATTTGGGGGAAATCAAGTCTACCCTGACTCTTGGCTCCCAGGGCCGCTCCCTCATCTGGATGCCAGATAAAATACAGATGTTCTTAGCAAGAAACAGAACACCAGACTGTTTCCCTCTTGGCTTGCGCTGCCTCTTAAATGCCTGAATGCCAGACAAACTCTCGCTTGCAGCATTTGGGGTTAGCTATAATTCACGGGAGATATCCAGACTGGGATGGAATCATGTTCTCCTCAGCTCTGTGTCTGAAGTGAGGCCCTGTCTGTTCCATGGTCCTTTGGCTGCTGAGTTTGGGATGGTCTGAGAGCAGCGTTTCCTTTAATACGTGTGCCAGACTGTTGGGAGCCCTTTCTCTGAAACCAGCCGAGCCCTCTCTTTTCCCTTGAGTCTGTCTGTCTGTCTGTCTGTCTGTGTCTCTGTTGTACGCTTTCTCTCTCTCTCTCTCTCTCTCTGGAGCACTAGGAAAGCTTGCTCCGTGGGGCCTCCTTTGGCAGCCGTGGCTTCTGCACTGAGAAGATCCCGAGCACATACATCACCATTTGCAAACCTGAATAGAAGTCCCTTCATGGAATACAACTTCGATTTTTTTTTTTCCAGCAAGGTTTTTGTTTTTATTAACCCACCTTGGGCATGGACAGCTGGTGGAGAGCTTGGAAGTAACTTGCCGATGTCAGAGGTACAGGGCAAGGAATTCTAGAGACAGGCTGGAAGGGAGACCTGAATATCTATTATCTGAGGACCCCGGCTCCCACAATTGCTCTCCCTGCTGCCCCTCCTGCAGCTGAGAAGAGAAGCTTCTTTGTTTCTCCCTTCCACTCCCCCAGCCCCACTTTACTAGGGATTGGACTTAGGGCCTTACTCATGCTAAGCAAGTACTAAGCAAGTACAATGCTGCTGAGCTACCTATATTCCTAGCCCCAAACGATAGCTTTCTTTTCTTTTCTCTTCTCTTCTCTTTCGTTTTCTCTCTCTCTCTTTTTCTTTCTTTCCTTCTCTTCTTCCTCCCTCCCTCCCTCCCTCCCTCTCTCCCTCTTTCCCTCCTTCCCTCTCTCCCTTCCTTCCTTCCTTCCTTCCTCCCTCCCTCCCTCCCTTCCTTCCTTCCTTCCTTCCTTCCTTCCTTCCTTCCTTCCTTCCTTCCTTCCTTCCTTCCTTCCTTCCTTCCTTCCTTCCTTCCTTCCTCCCTCCCTTCCTTCCTTTTTGACTTCTTTCTGTGTCAGTCCTGGGACTTGAACTCAAGGCATGGGTACTGTCCCTGAGCTTCTTTTGCTCAAAGCTAGTGCTCTACTGCTTTGAGTCATAGCTCCACTTCTGGCTTTTTTTTTTTTGGTAGTTGAGTGGAGATAAGCATCTTACAGACTTTCCTGCCAGGGCTAGCTTTGAACTATGATCTTCAGGTCTCAGCCGCTTGAGTAGCTAGGCTTACAGGCACATTGGGCTGAGGGCAGCTTTTGAAATGCGAGTTTGAATGGTGGCAAGTTCTAGCTCATTAGTAAAATCACGAGTTCGAGCAGAAGTACCAATCTACTAGTCTAACTGGAAAACCTCCCCTTGTGTGTGGAGAGTCCTTTTCTCCGGAATACTGGCATGTGCTGGAAATTATTTTTGAAAGTTTGGGGAAATGTCCATTGGGCCATTTCCATCCATTCCTGGGCTACTCAGGCATGAAGAAACTCAAGGGCTAAACCCATTAGTAACCAGCTCGGCTTGGCTTGTAGGTGCCCGGGGACCCTTCCTACCCTTTCTCCCTGCAGTTTAACTTAGGGAGCAAGCCACACCTTGATTCTCAGGTTAGACCTGTGGGGTCTACGGGAAGCAGGTGCTAAAGAGGGAGGAGGCCGAGCAGCCAGCAGGACTGCGCTTACCTTTCCACAGCTTGCCTTCCTCCTGGGCCTGGGCGGGCGGCAGGCACATCCCCAGACGCAGCTGCAGCCCAGCTCCACAGCTGGTGCATTCGTGGGAGCCCCGGCCGGTGCAGGCCAAGCAGGCCTGGTGACAGGGCTCACAGACTCCCACCTCCTGGTCAGTGTAGAAGCCAGGCCCACATTGCTGCACGCAGCTGCCACCTGGGTCAGAGCACAGGGAGGGAGTGCTGAAGGCAGGCCTCGGGCAGCCACGCCGGGCGCAGGAAGAGGCCTGGAGACAGTCTCAGGAACTAGGGTGACTGCGCTTGTTGAATTGAAAGAAATCAAGATTTTTCTCTTTTCTTTTCGGTCCATTTCAGTGAAAGAATGTATTTTCATAAAGTGAGCACTTCACTGAAGCCCTCTTTCAGGGGAGAATTTAAATTGGCCATCATCTTAAAGGATAAGCAGCTTTGAATAAGGACTTAAGAACTGTCGCCGCCTTGAATCTGGCAAATAAAATGAATCTATCAAGCTGCTCTTGGGAGCCTCGTGGCTGTCAGCTTAGTTACTCAGGAGATGGACATCTGGAGGTTGGATGTTCAAAGCCAGCCTAGGAAAAAAAGTCCATGAGACTCCATCTCAAAAAAAGAAATAGCAATCAGCAAAATCTAGTGCGCCAGCTGTGAGTAAGAAAGAGAATCAATTAAGAGCCCCATATTGGGGTTGGGCACCAGTGATTCGTGGCAGTAATCCCGACTACTCAGGAGGCTGAGATATGGGGGTTGTAGTTGGAAGCCAGCCCAGGGTGAAAAGTCTATGAGACTCTTATCTCCAATTAACTGCCAGAAAACCGGAAGTGGAAATGTGGCTTAAGTGGTAGAGTGCCAGCCTTGAGCAAAGGAAGCTAACGGACAGCGCCCAGGCCCTGAGTTCAAGGCCAGGTACTGGCAGCGGCTGTGCACATGAACGATCTCTGACTATTAGTCACCTGACCTTGCCGGGTGACTTAAATTCCAAAGCATTTATCTTCAGGTCCCCTCCTAATGGTTCCTCTAGTCCCCAACTTCTTCTTGCTTCCTTTGGCTTGGAGATATTTGAGATTCATTAGGGGACACGAGCTAGGCGCCAGTCCTAACTTCAGAAGGAAGTAGTTCTGGCTAGTGTATATTGTCAAGCCAAATTACAATTCCTCCTTTGATCTGAAACTCCTGAGAGTCCTGCACACAGAGCCGGGGAGAGGAGCCTCGCCCCCCCTTGTCCTGGTGGGGGCCATTCTGTTCTCTGGCTCACCTGAGAGAAAGAAGCCTTCCGCACACCAGTAGCACTCGTTTTGGTCACAGCTGCCGCAGTGAGGGCTGCAGGATCGGCATGTCCACCCTTCCCGGAAGGTCTTCTCTGGGCAGGTTTTATAACAATGGTGTTCAAACCTAGAAGGAGATGAATCCGTTTCTTCTATGAGATAATGGTCTTACCAGTCCTAACTTGACCTCATAGGGGTGTGTGTGTGTGTGTGTGTGTGTGTGTGTGTGTGTGTGCGCACACACACATGCCGATCCTGGGACTTGAACTTAGGACGTGGTGCTCTTACTTGGCTTTTTCGTTCAAAGCTGGTGCTCTCGACCTACTTGAGCTATTCTACTTCAGGTTTTCTGGTGGCTCATTGGAGATAAGAGTCTCCCAGACTCTCCTGCCATGGCTGGCTTTGAAGCACAATCCTCAGACCTCAGTCTCCTGAGTAGCTAGGATCACAGGTGTGACTCACCAGTGTGTGGCTTTATGCAGCATTTTTAAAAATCAGAAGTGGCTAATTGGATTCTAAGGGAGGAATCTTGAACTTGATGTGGCCTGCCCTATCAACCAAACCATTGATCACCTCCTTGTGGATTGCTGGGGTCCTTTAGTTAAAAAGGGGTTCTGGGGGAAGTAGGTGACTAATAGCAGTTTATAGAGTCTTGATGATGTGTTCAGAATCAGCTCATTTAAATCTGTGCACAGGGTAGCTATTCCTTCTTTTCATTTTTTTTGGGCGGGGGTAGGTCGTGGGGCTTGAATCCTGGGCCTGGGCTCTGTCCCTCAGCAATTCAGCTCAAGGCAAATGCTGTACCACTTGAGCCACAGCACTATTTCCAGTTTTCTGGTGGTTTACTGGAGAGAAGAGTTTCACAGACTTCCCTGCCGGGGCTGGCTTTGAACCATGATCCTCAGATCTCAGCCTCCTGAGTAGCTAGGATGACAGGCGTGAGCCACCCATATGCGGCTTCTCTTGAAATTTTTGATAGGAGAACTCAAAATATAGCTAAGGGAGACACTAGGATTTTCACCAAAATCGGTTTGAACAGATAGCTTATGCAGCTCACATCAATGCATTCTTGCACACATTATCTATTATTCTCATCATAAACCAAAATGGCTTATCTGGGGGATGTGGGAATGCCTTTGATGAATTGCTTTTTGATGAATTTTGAAGCTTCAGTACGGTATCAGGGGAGACAACAGCATTTCTCCTTTAAGCACTTCTAGTGCACGACATTTGATCGGCTGTATTCAAAATTCCTAAATATCCTACTGGTTATAAATGTGGTGCTCTACCATGTGAGCCATGACTCTAGTGTTGCATTTGGCTAGTTAGTTTAGAAATGAAGTCTTGAGGGTTTTTCTGCCTGGGCTGGCTTTGAGCTGCAATCCTCCATATTTTAGCCTCCCGAATAGCTAGGATTACAGGCGTGAGCCACAGGTGCGGGGCCTTATACATGTGTCTTTCTTGAAACAGCTATCTCATGGTGTACCCTGGAGGCATTGGGACATGTTATTTTGGTGCATTTCACTTGCAAAGGGCTTCGTAGAATGTGCTCGTTAGGGAGATGTGAGCTGGGTTGGATTGTCACCACATTTCGCAGAGGATGCTGTTTGGTGGCAGAGGAAGCAGGCGCCGTGAGAGGTATACTTGGGGTCAAGATGAAGAAAAGCAGGGCAGTGTTAGGCTGGAGGGATGAAGAGTTATAAAAGGGACAAAGAAAACTGCTCATTTGCTTCCGTCACAATTGTTTCTTAACTTGTGTCTATGCTTTCCTTGTTCTTCAAGAAACGCGTTGTGTGCCCTGACCCATGGAAGCTTTCTGTCATGTGTTTCTGCCTGGGGGGACCCGTGGTTATGTCGACTATGAAAATGCTGACAAATCACTCTGCTTATGAAATGTCAGCTGTTTGGTCATATAATAGAATAACAGGTGCCTCTTCTGTACCCAACCTTCTCTGTTCAAATGGAGCGATAATTTAAACCAGTGGGTCAGGAGGGCAGTGATTTAGGACCCAGATATTCCAGAAGAGTCGAATTAAAACCTTCAGACAAAATACAGGGTTGATCTAAAAGTCTGAACTATGAAAGACTCCCAAATTCAAAACTTTCTGAGTAATTATAGGATACTCTTAGTGAAAAATTCCACAGTGAGCATGAGGTTTTCTCCATGTACGGAATTGTTTCAGGTGTGTCAAAGCATTATCTCCAGGCTCTATGTAAACAATAAATTCGGTGTTAGATTTGCTATCTCATTACACATACACACACAAACATAGCAAAGCATTTAAAAAAATCTGAAACACTTCTGGTCCCAAGAATTTCCATTAAAGTGTGCTCCATCAGTAATCATAAAGTGAACTCAACATTTTGTTTTTGCTATTTTGGGTTTTCCTCACCCTTTCATTGTCTTCACCTGTTTTTTTCCTTCTCTACCCATTCTCAGCTCCTAGAAGGTGATGGAGAAGAGGGCAGTCTGGTGCCAAGAGGAAGCAGGGATGGCCTGGATGTGCACCTGCTACTAGTCTCTGGGCAGCGTGTGGGGAACTAGCACCTCCTTGAGTTTTCCTTCTCTGCCATTTTTCTCCTGCTCCTGAGATGTTTGATGGAAGTGCACAGGACAGGTGGAGATCCCAGAACTCACAGCACTCCGAGTCACTGGCTAGCCTATGCAGTAGAATCTCCTGGGCCTGTCTTTCTCTTCCATCTCTGTTTTTCTTAGTTTTTCCCTCCCCTGGGATAGGCAAGGCAAGCTGGAAGGGAGAGTAGTTTGGGGAAAGAAGCGTCATTGAAACACTACATCTTGGAGTTTTGTAGATTTTTATTAGAAAACTTGGGGTGAATGGTTATCTGTGTTTTATTGAACCTGATGGTCTGTCTCCCTTTACTCGGTGTGTGTGCGTGGGGAGACTAAAAGCTAATATGGCGCCTGGCTTTCCCCCTGGAGTGTCTGACTCCAGTTAAGGGCACGAGGTCTCCCTAGTGACATTTGGAATCAGTTGACTTGGGGTTGGGTACATGATTAAGGTCTGTCCATAAATGACAAGATGTGAATTTTGGTAACTCATGGCAAGATTGCTAGACACCAGTGTCAGGTTGGATGGCTTCCAGGATCAAGAGAAGGCCTCCTTTCGAGTCAAGAAACAGCTGGGGGGCTGGGAAGGTGGCTCAGTGGTAGTGTGCTTGACTTGCATGCATGAGGCCCTGGGTTCAATTCCTCAGCACCACATAAGCAGAAAAAGCCGGAAGTGGGGCAGACACTCAAGTGGTAGAGTGCTAGCCTTCAGCTGAAGAGCTGAGGGACAGCACCCAGGCTCAGAGTTCAGGCCCCACAACTGACCAAAAAAAAAAAAAAAAAAAAAAAAAAAAAAAAAGAAACAGCTGGGCTCTCATTGCTGAATCCTAGAATTGCTTATATTAATGAGCCCATAGAACGGAGCTGCTTCAGCCTGCAGGGCCTCTGCTTTAATCACTGGATTTAGGATTAAGTCAGTAATGCTTAAACTGCAGAAAAGTTAGTGTCAGGAAAGGGGAAAAAATAAAGCCAGACTTACATGTAATACCCCGCAGCACAGGAGGAACAGCTTCCAGGATCATCTGGAAAAAAAATTAGGATAATGAAAAATTATAATCACCAGGAGTGTCTTATTTGGAGAGAGAGAGAGAGGAAAAAAGGACTTTGGAAAAATTGTGGCTGGAGACAGATAATTTTCTAAGACAGTTTTATGAAAGGTACTGCCCAGAACTGATATTTGAACAGATTGCACCATTTTTAATTAGTAACAAGAAGTACACTGTGATTTATCTTTATCAAAGGTAGTAAAATAAGAGGCCTCATAAAAATCTTGGCCTCAAGTTTCAAGGAAGGATAGGCCTTATGCTACTGGGTCTTCAAATTACAGCTCAACCACTGTCCGCATTAAGA